CTAGTGCTTCGCCTGGAAGCCATCCGGACACCCCCTACCCTGCCCCCGCCGCTGCTGAGAGCCTTCCGAGCTCTCAAAGGGCTTTCTCCAATGTCGGGGGGGGAAGCCCTTTGAGAGCTCGGAAGGCAAATGTCGGCGATCGGCGGTGGCTTCGGGGTCCTTCCAAAGCCACCGCCGATGGACTGTCGACATTTTCTCCCAGCTAAGCAGCGGGCCTTTGAAACTCCCGCCACTCAGCTGGGGGAAAATGCCAAAGGCCCCATTTTCAGTCAGCTGGTCGGCGGTTCCAAAATGGCTGCCCCGCTGTGTTGCCTCGCTTTAGAGGCACCGAAAATGGCCGCCCCTATGGAGGAACATTGCTGAACGGTGAGTTTTTTCCCCATAGGAACGCATTAAACAAAGTTTAATGCGTTCCTATGGGTTTTTCCGTTCCGTTTAGCGATGTTTCCACATAGCGACGATTAATCCGGAACGGATTAACGTCGCTATGCGGGGCACCACTGTAACTGGAAATTGCTGGATTTTACAGAGTGATTGTACACTGAATAAAATCAGTCATTTAAAGATTAATGGAACTTTTTTGTTTAAAACAGTTGTACCTCTTGTTTTCTAATTATAAGGAGTGAAATATATTGGTATCTGCTGAAATGAACTGTGCTCACATGATACCTGTTTTTCCACAGATACTTGCTTGGCATTTAATACACAAGTTCATTCCACAAAGTATAGATCTCCAGGCTGTGTTAGATTGCTGCTGTTTGACATTACAACAATCTAGTTTGTGCAACTTGCTGGCTTCAGCAGATTATACGACACATGCATGCTCTCTAATCAACTGTATGCAGTTTATTATAGAAGCAGGTGAGTTAACTTGCTGAAAGTGGAGCGTGAAGCTCCTTGAAGCAAATTTGGCGCATTCCCAAACTTTTGTAATATAACATCATTCTAATAACTTTACAGATCTCATTTACTGTTTCTGTTTTATCCTGTCAGTATATTATCTGATATTACCTGTACAATTCAAAGGTGTTCTTGAAATTTTATTCCATGATATAACCTTTAGCAAAATATCTGTGAAGATTCTCAGTCAACCAGGTGAGGTTATCTGAAAGTTTAGTCATAGCAACTGGACTTCTTATTAGGTTGAAACGTTTCGCTACTCTTCCAAGTAGCTTCTCCAATCTGAGGAGCGTTGTTGGAGATCCTTGATATATATCCTCAACGTTGGTTTCACTTCCCCAGCTCGTTAGATGGACAAAGCATGGGTGGGTGAGTGAAAATCTCACTTCTGCACCCATTGTCATAGGATGTTAACAGCCATTAGCAGTGGTCTTCTTTCTGGCGTGTGGGGACGGATGTTTCTGGGGACATGTCAAGAGTATTGTAAAATTTACAGGCCTGAACAGAACAGAACAGAGCAGAAGTAATAATGAGCTGCCATGCTATACAGGTGTGTAATTTGCTGAGTCACAGTGACTCTGGAGAGGTGGTGCCTTGGATGATGCAACATCTGCTGTGATTGGATAAGGGCAGAGGCTCAACTGTATATATGTACTGTATAGAGAACATGTACCACCACCTTCATTTGATGATGCCATGCTGTCATGCTGCCGCTTTCTACACTTGTATATATGCTGTAAATACACGTGTCGTGCTGGAGGAAGCTGAACGTGTCTGGGTGATTTGTTTTGCCTTCTGGACCTGAAAATATTAACTCTGCTGGATTCTACGCGGGTTCGCGGTAACAGGACGGATGAAAGGACAGGTTGTATGTTAAGGCCCTCGCCGCATTAATCTGCACATGTATGGCCTCCTTGACCCTTATTTCAAACTACCTATCTTCTCGGTCCAAAATGAGTACATCAAATGAGTGTTGCCTGTCCTTCAAATGAAGGAACACTGCTGATTGTGGCCCTGAGCTGTTGCCCCTCCTGTGCTGAACCATTCTCCCATTTAGTGGCTGTTTGGTTTCTCCATCGTAGAGCTCCAAACACTCCTCTTTGCATTGGAATGCATATTCTATATTGCTCCTGTTATGTTTTGTTGTCTGGTCTTTTGGGTGGACAAGTCTGCCTTAGTGTGTTTGTGGGTTTGAAGTGCACTTCTGTCTCCTATTTATCATGCCGCCCTTTCATCTGTCTCTAGAAAGATCAGGACCACACACACCAGAAAGATCGCTGTGAACAACTGTTAATGACCCATGACAATGGGTGGAGAAGGACTGCAGAAGTAGGGTTTTCACTCACCTCCAGTCCTTTGTGCATCTAATGAGCCAATTTAGACAAAGGGAAAGTGAAACCAACATGGAGGCTATATCAGGGATCTCCTACCAACTCTCCTCAGACTGAAGAAGCTACTTAGATGAGCAGCAAAATGTTTCAACCTAATAATGATTCAACTTCCATATACATTAGCAAAGTGGTTAGCAATTGAGAATGAGAGTTTGCTCAGTCAGTATTAGCATACAATAATGTTTTCATATCACAATATGGTATTATGAACTTTTGAGAGACAGAAAAAATTAAAACACTCTATGTGTAGAAGTGCAGGAGATCAAGCCTCTCCTTCCACTTTTGCCCATCATATTGCATGAACCTAAGTTTATTTGACTCATTCTTAAGAATCTTAAGTATGCCAATACAAATCCTTATCTGATGATAAGTCAGAAAAATTAAAGATTAACATTGGGAAGTGCTTCATGGTTGTGTTTCTTTAGTGGCAATTGAACCTGGAAGTCAGCTTCTTCGTCCAGAAAGGAAGAAGACTCTTAAAAACACTGTCAGTGAAGATGAATCGAATTCACAGGCACCAGGTAAGGATGGAAGAAGCTACGAATCACATACAATAATTAAATAAACTAACAGAATATTTTGGCAGCATTTGTTGTTTTTAATAACGACGTGATTATGGAGCTCATGTTTTCTGAAAAACTTGAACATTTCTTTTAAGTATTTTATTTGTTATTTTATTAAATCAAGTTATGTATTACAGGGATAATGTATTTTTCTTTAACTTTTAAAATAATAAGTGGGAGGAAGGCGTTGAAAATATCTCACAGGGCAAATAACAGCCATGATGTCTTTTAGCTGATGAGTGGGGATTCCTTGAAAACACATTGTTGAGGAAAAGGTTAGTAGCAACTTCTCCCTGTATCCTGAGTTAACAGTACTGATTCTAACCCTTTGGCAGGTTTATTTTGAAAGTGATGGAAAGACAAGTGCAATCATGCATTTAGTATAATGTCCTGCATGGAGTTGGTCATTCAAACTTGAATAGACCTTTTGAATTAATGGGATCTATGTAACTGATAAGTCATCATTCAGTATGTCATTGATTCAGTACTCTAGTTAGGACTGCCAGTTACAGTGGGGTCTTGACTTGAGAACTTAATCCGTATTGGAAGGCGGTTCTCAAGTCAAAACATTCTCAGGTCAAATCTGCATTTCCCATAGGAATGCATTGAAAACCATTTGATCTGTATCTGCTCTTTTCCGTCCATAGAAATTAATGGGAAGCTGCTATTCTGCCTTCTACCACTAGAGGGGGATATTTTGTTTCTTTTTTTTCTTAGGTCAAGAAAGGTTCAGGGAAGGCAGGGAAAATACAGTCCAGGCAGTACAGTACCAGGCAGTCCGAAGACTGTCTCCCAATCCACTCTCTAAACGCTGGGAGGAGTTGGGATGCAGACAGGCACCCTTTTCACTGGCCAACAGTTAACTGAAAGTTCACATTTTGCACTTTCCCTGCCTCCCACATGGTTTTTTTCAGTTCTTAACTCAAATCTAAGTATGTAAGTCAAGTCAATATTTTCCTATGAGAGTGGTTCTTAAGTCAAAATGTTCTTAACTCAAGCCGTTCTTAAGTCAAGACCCCACTGTAGATTTAGGCACATGTTTAGTTTAATGCTCCAATAGATATTGCTTAAGATATGTTAAAATGTTTTGTAGGACGTTTCAGTTATTTGTGTACTGCCAGGTGAAGTCTGTTAATCTGACTTGTAACATTGGGTGTTTTGATATGACACAGTCGAGGCATGGATTTGAAGCGATGTGCAACTTAATATTATCATGTTTACTTACTTAAGTATTATATAACTTGTTTGTTTTATCTCCCAATTTAAGAATCTGGATACATTGCAGCAACTTGTGAAATAGTAGCAGAGTTGGTGGAATGTTTGCAGTCTATCTTGGCTTTGGGGCACAAGGAAAACAGTCGTATCCCAGCATTCCTTACCCCTGTTGTTAGGAATATCATCATCAGCTTGTCCAGGCTGCCCTTAGTAAACAGTTATGCAAGAATTCCTCCCTTGGTATGTGTCTGCAGGTTGATGCTAATATTTATTACTAATTATAATTGTGTGATGCTTATTATTTAGCTTACACTTGATATTTTCATTTCTTTTTTTCACCTCAATATAAAATTTTATTCTTACACTGCTATGAGTTTTCTTATCTAAAGGTCTTTCTCAAAAATAAAACCCATTCAGTTTGCATGTGGGGCTGATATGTGAAAAGGGGTGCATCCTAGTCCTAACATTTTTCTGTTTCATTACAAAATTAAAAGAAGCAGAAGAGGCAGAAGCAATGCGATGTAGGTGGCTTCTTCACATGAGGTAGAACCCTAATTGGGGAAGGTGATTTGGCTCATGTGGACATACCATTGGTAGAGCAGCCTCCCTTGCTTTAGATTTTTTTCCAAAAATTGATATATGATACGGATTTTTGGACATAACTGTTGTCAGCTTTTTACAGAGATCACTTCTGATTTTTGACAAGTCTGAGGATGTTAATTTAAAGGTAAAACCTTAATCAGTTGGTGTATGTGAAACAGGAACTCCAGATTGTGCAGAACAGATTTTTAAAAGACCTTTAAATAGTAAGGTTTGGGATTGTACAGGCAAGCAGAAAAGCTTTGCACAATTAACTACTATTTAATCCCCATAGTTTCTGTGGACTTAAACACATGGGAGCTTCTGCACAGCGTGTTCCAGGATCTTCCAAAGTTGATCCATTGACTTACAACCATGCAAATCAGTGGCCTTCTGTACGAACCCTCACCAGCTGCTCAGTTTCTAGCTTCCTCCATAACCATCACCTCAGACTGCAATAGAGCATTGCAGGCACCCTATTAACTGGTATCAACTACCTCTGTAGCAGCACCTCGGGTTTCAGAACCTCAGCTGGCTCCAGTATCCAAGCTCAATATTGTGCTTAAACACAAAGGCAAAAGATCTCCTGATACCTATAAAACCAAAGGAGGAGGAGGAGGAAGTGGGAGGAGGAGGATCACCCATTGCATCTGTTGCCTCCTCCACTACCAAGGGTTGATACAGTGATTCCTACCATCCAGCAGGAAATACATACCATTCCTTTGAGGGGAAAACCCAACCACTTCAACATGTCTCAGTTTTGAAGGAGAAATCACTGAGAAGTCCTCACAACTAGACCATTCTCCTTCACCAATTCCTCCCAGGAAAACATGATCAGTTTTAGAAGGTTCCAGAGCATGCTGCACAAGCACAGAAGCTCCCATGTGTCTGAGTGCATATATGATGGCTTGAAAAAACAGTTACAGGCAAGGAAGCTGTCTTTTCTTTTGGCTTTCAGTTTACTAGTAGAGATAGGCTTGAATGAAATCATACCCCTTTGTATGAAGTCCTCTGGGGGTTCCCTCCCCCGCACCCTTCAGCTAGCTGGCCCACTCTCACAATCCGTTTCATGCTGTGAAGGTCCTCTTTCTCCCGTGGTGCTCCAGTCCAGGCAGGAGCTTGGGCTGCCCTCCCCTGCCTCCTCCAGCAGCTGACCATGCAACAGCTATGCGGGTAGAATCCTTGTCCTTCCTCCACATCTGAGTGGTCAGTTGCTGAAGGAGGCGTTGGAAATAGGTTCTGATTCTCTGTAATGTGAATCTAAATGGATTTGAGAGCTTGACTGTAGACTATAAACTGTGTGGTGTCTACTGTGGGAAGCTAGAAGCATATTAACTCAATGTAATGGTCCAGGGATTTTTGATGCAGTGTGGTGCTCACGTATAGGACCATCAACAGCAACAATTTTTGGGCTTTAAATTGTTCCCTACTGTGTTCTGCAGCTACCTCATTCTATAGCTCCTGAAGGCTACCATAGGATAAAGGACATCCCTACGGACCCCTGAACTCTGGTGGGGATGGGGGACCTGGTAATTTATTGCTTCAAAACATCTGCAGCATGGACATGGCTGATAATATTATCCAAGTTACATGGCATAGCTTTGCCAACAGGATTTCAGCCAAAATCACCTTTCGTGAAGGCATTGTCATACTACAGCATCTTTCTTTGTCTGGGAATAGTAAGCAAGTAGAAAGATATTCTTATTTCTTCAACTCTCTGTATTATAACAGGTCTGGAAATTGGGTTGGTCTCCAAAGCCTACTGGTGATTTTGGCACAGCTTTTCCAGAAATCCCAGTAGAATTTCTTCAAGAGAAAGAAGTATTCAAGGAATTTATTTATCGAATTAATACACTGGGTACGTAGATACATTGGAAATGAGTTGAACACATAAATTGCAGTGGAGTATTCATTGGTTTTAAAAACTTTTCATAATGAAGAGAAGTTACTTAAAATTACCTAAGCCATAATTGTGAGTGATAATAATAGATAATAATAATAATAAATGTTTTATTACGGTCATTGACCAGCAAAAGTAAGATACTTTATTTAAATTAGGAGACATAAAAACAATCTAAAAACATTAAAAACACCAAAGCACTAAAAACATCTATATATACACATATATAAAACTACATTCATACATCTTACTAAATATCTCCTACCTCCCTATCATAGGCCTTATCTATGGGCTATTGCAGCTTGCACAGAATGCCAAAATTGTTACTTTAAAGTTCATAGAGCCTGTGTGATCATTATACCAAATTGGTATACACCAATTTACAGATTCTATAGCTGTGCTTTAGGAACCTTCCCTTCACAGATTTTGATTGCAGCAGCACAGAATTTAGCTACTTTTGTCAGCATATGTGAATTTAGCCCAGTATATCTATAATTGTGAGTGATTTTCAGTTAGCTAGATACTAAGGTATAGTCTTTCTTATAACATAGAACCAAGGCATATAAGACTTTACAGGTCATAGTTAGCAGTTATAATTGTGCACAGAATAGGCTGGTAATCAGCAAAACTATCATAGCAGTTGAATCATGTTTCATGTAACTGGCCCCAGTCAGCAGTATAGCTGCATGTTTTGTGACCAGTTGATGTGTCTGAACACTTGCAAAAGTGGTCTTGTGTAAAGCATGTTATATTAATCCAAATGAGATGTAGCTAAGATGTATATCACCATACCATGACCAGACACCTTCAATAATAGATTTAGCTGGTGCACTAGCTTTAACTGTGCAAACATTTTTCTAGTCACCATAGAAACGAGGACATTCAGCTTCATTGCTGAATCTAGAAGTACACCCAAACTTCAAACCTGTGCTTTCAGGGAAAATGTAAACCTGTCTAGTGCAGATTGAACGCATTTCCCTTAATTTGCCTTTGATTGACCAGGAACATATATTTTGTTAGTCTGGTCTGGTCTAGATGCCAGTTTGTTCACCTTCATCCAGTCTGTTATTGATATCTGATACTGGTTTAGTGGTTTTTCACCTGCCTGAGGATTCTGTCCACATCCTTAAACTATAAGATTGGAAAGTATCTATTATTACTGGACAAGTTAAGCTAGGATTATATCCATTAGATCTGAGAGCTTGGCTGTAGACAATAGTGTAGTGTGTGACACATCAGGTATATTAACTCAGTGTAGTGATCCAGGTTTTATACAAACTGATATGTGTAAAGATGCATTACAGATAAATTGCAGTTTCCCCCTTTTCTCCACATGTCTCCATATCAAGCTAAATGACACAGATAATTTGCAGAAATTTTGAACAATTTTTAGCTAGTAAAAAAAAACACACAAAAAAAACCTAGGGCTGTTATGAGTATTGCAGAAATTCTTATTATTGGAGACTTTCTGAGTCTCACCATTCTGAGATTCCCTGCTTGGACTTCTTCACATCCACAGAGATTTCCTGAATTCCTGAAAAGATGAGAGCCACCATTCTGTGCACAAACTCAAATTCTGAAGAAATCCTGTTTTGCTCAGTGCCCCTGTGAATTCTACACAGGGAAGATGCAATCCTGCACAGGAATTATAATAGTTCTGCTCAGACTGGTGTTTTGAAAAGAATAGAGAACAGGTGTTTCTTTTAGGATAAAAAATGAAACTTCTGTGAAATCTGACATAATTTCCAGTTAGTTTTCGTGGGGTGGGGTGGGGAATCACATACAGTGACATCTTCCTGCAAGTAGAAGATGGGGATTTTTTTTTCATGGTTTCTTGCTAAGTAAAAGGCAATGAGACTCACATCCCACAATAGAGTTATAGAAGTTCAAATATCTTACTCTAAATTTGTATCATATGACATGGCAAATGACAGTAGTGTCATTCCATAGGTTGGACAAATCGCATGCAGTTTGAAGAAACTTGGGCTACTCTTCTTGGTGTTCTTGTAACCCAGCCAATTGGAACTGATCAAGAGGAAAACCAGCAAGAGGTACAGTATAAATACTTTAGTTTGCCTAAATTATCTGATATATAATGCTAGTTCATATAGCTTTGAATTGCAATGTTAGGATTAATTATACAGTGGTGCCCCACTGGACAATTACCCCGCTTGACAACGAATCCACTTAACGTTGAAGTTTTTGCGATCGCAAAACGATGTTTAGATGGGGGAATTTCTCTTTAACGTCGATCAGTTCCCTGCTTCGGGAACTGATTTTTCGCTTTACGGCGATCAGCAAACAGCTGATTGCCTCACAGCCCGTTTCTGCCATAAACCAGAGATGGACCACCTGTTACGCCCCATAGAGATAACTGGAGATGGTGGAGGCTGAGGAAAATACTGCCACCACTCCTGGTGATCCCTGTATTGCAGCAGGTTGTTCTTCCTGACGTTTCGCCAGTCTCTATGGCCGGCATCTCCAGACGACTGGAGTGTCTGGTTGTAAAAATGTATTTTTAAAAATATTTATGCCTATAGAGTTTATTGTTATGGTCCTTAGACCAATCACACAGGGGAAAAATAGACATTTGCAGTTTCCAAAATTCCAAATACCTTATAAAAAGTTTTGGCATTTTAAAAAACCATTTAAAATTTGGTATCTAGCTACCATAACATTTCAAAATTTCAGGTACTTCTCAAAAAAACATTTGGCATTTGAAATACAATTTAAAATCTAATATCTAGTTTTTAAAATGTTTTAAAAAGAATAGAGAACAAATATTTAGAAGCTCACTTTTTTAAGCTGTAGAATTACTCTTTCTTGCTTTGTGGCTAGGGATGGTCTTTGTTAGCAGAGCTTTGGTGCCTATTTATTTATTTATTTTATTTTATTTTATTTTATTTTATTTTATTTTATTTGATCCCCCGCCCATCTGGCCTAAAAGACCACTCTAGGTGGTTATATCCAGTCACAATTTCAACCATTCCACCCATCTTGCCACTATACAATTTTCTGGTAATTAAGGAAAATACTCCAAAAATAGTATGTGCCATCAGATCACTTTTATGCAGCAGTATTGGACTATTTCCTGCTGTTTTGAACTGTTGATACAGAAGCACAATATCCCACACTGATAAACCAGAGGTTTTTGAATAATTGTATACTGCCATCATTCTTTGTGAGTTTTATATCTCTTGCTGTAGAAAGACACCCATGACTTTAGATTTGTGTTTAATTTTTTTTCAGGAAGATACAGAAAAGACAGAAATAAATGTTCTAGCTGTCCAAGCCATAACATCTCTGGTACTTAGTGCAATGACAATACCACTTGCAGGCAATCCAGCGGTTAGCAGCTTGGAACAGCAACCTCGCAACAAAGCTTTGAAAGTCCTAGATACACGGTATTTTGGATACTCTTTTGTTTGTTTGTTTTTGCTTTTCTTATCTTAATTTTCTCCTTCCTGAATCTATTTTTAAAAGGGATTGTTGAAAATAATTTTGGGTAACAATGAGCAAAGAAGCCAATGATGGTGTTATGCTAGGGAAATTGCTTTTATTCATATAAAGATTGGCAGCTGATTTTCAGTTTCCTACCCCTGCTTCTTACAAAAGCCATTCATGCCCCTAGAAAAGCTGTTACTAGGGACTGCATAAAATAGTATCAGGTGTAGTATACAAGACCATAGTATAAGGGTGAGCATTATATACTCTAGTAACTTAATGGGGAACAACAAACAAATAAATATACCAGTTGGGCGGGATATAAATCAAATAAATTAAATAAATAAATAAATAAATAAATGTGGGTGATCCACCTTGCATGAGAAAAAATGCATTCTCCAAGACATCATTAGAAACAATCACAGACCTCTTGTCATAGAATATTTTGAAATAGCCCTTTGAAAAACTTTGTTCAGTATATAAATCCACTTTAATTGAAAAATGATAAAGCCATTTCCAAGCCACTGCTGGTCCTAGAAATATGTTTAGCAGTTCCACAGCATCAAATGAATCTGATGAAAAGGGAAAATTGGATAGGGTGTCTGTAGCTTGCTGGTGATAATCTACTACAAATCCCTGGAGGACTTCATACAGAGGATTTATATAAAGGTTAAACATGTAGTCTTCTAGAAAAGTAAAATGCAGTGGGCCAGGTTATAATCACCCAACATGGCTGCAGCTAAACGTCATTCAGTGTTCAGTTTTAGGTTTTTGTCATTAAACGCTATAAATGTTGACATAAATTGAATGTAATGTTTTGTTGGAAGTAAATACCGGAAATATTGTCATCATTTATGTGTTGAGCACTTCATGTGTGTATGGATTTCTCAGATTGTAGTCTCACAGAGCTGTTACACAAAAATATAATTAAAACAAAATGAATACATTTAAAACAGTAAAGGCAGGGAACAGATAAAAATTATGAAGGCTAAACCACACTAAAATGCTGAACAAATAAAAAATGTTTTATCTGATGCACGTCTCCTAGAGTATGTTCAAAAGACAGTACACCTCATCCAGTGAAGAACCTCAGAGGAAGAATTATAGAGAAGATCGTGCTTCAGTTACCTGGATCTCAATGCATTTAAATATTTAAAGGCTAAAGCAAGCACCTTAAATTAAGGCTAGAAATGGACAAATGGCCAGGGATGTGTGCCATACCTTTTCTATTAGTTGAAACAAATGTAGGAGTGGTGTTGCTGACTGTGGTTTCCAAACTTTCATCAACAAATGGACAACACATTCCAAAAGCCTAAACCCAGGGGTATACAACACAGGACAATATCCAGCACTGTGTTTTTATATACAAGGCTAATGTAATAGGGACTACTTTCCCCTCCCCTTTCTGTTGAAGGCCTTTATAATGCATATAATCAGGTGGAAACAGTAGGATCCGGTGGAAGTAAACCATAGGATTTGAGCCCTGGCAACCTACAGATGCTTGAACTGCAATTCTCATGTCTTGCACTTTATGGCAAATCATCAGGGATTGTGGGGATTACTGTTCAAAACTTTGGAAATTATCAATATCCCGTCTAAGCAGGATATTACCAAGGCATGAGTATCTAGTGTCAGATTTATTCTGTCATGCCAGGTGATCACACATGCATCTCTTTCCTACATTCAAGGAAGCAGAGCAAACTGTAGAGTGGCTGTGCAAGTAGTGCTTAATGCTGCATGAATCCAACAGGATTCTGGCCAAAGGTTTGTCTAACTATAGAAGATGTTTTAACCATTGATGAGCATTTATGTTGAACTTCAGATTTGGAAGAAAATTAAATATCATCAGAGGAATTGTAGAACAAGAAATTCAAGAATTGGCATCCAAGAGAGAAAACATTGCCACTCACCATTTATATCAAGCATGGGATCCTGTTCCATCTCTGTCCCCTTCTGCTACAGGTTAGTATACAATGGCTCCTTATACAGATGGCTTGTAGGCTTACAGTTTCCAAAAGAGCTTGCCACTTAGAAGAATTGGAGGAAACCCTCGGTTGTCACTATTATCCATGCCTTGCATGGACAAATTTCTTCAGGTGTAAACCAACTTGAACAAATTCTGATTTGCCACCAAAAATCCTAAAAGGCTTGATTGAGTTGGCAATCCTTACAATTCCCAGGAAAGATAATGCTTAAGAAAAGTCCCCTTTCTTCATGTTTGGGGGTTAGGTGGGTTCGTTCTCTCTCTCTCTCTCTCTCACACACACACACACACACAGAGCGAGAGAGAGAGAGAGAGAGCGAGAGAGAGAGAGAGAGAGCGAGAGAGAGAGAGAGAGAGCGAGAGAGAGAGAGAGAGAGCGAGAGAGAGAGAGAGAGAGCGAGAGAGAGAGAGAGAGAGTATATCCGTATATGTATAAATCATGTATGTCTTTTTGTCTTTTTTTTCAGGTGGTCTTATCAGCCATGAAAAACTTTTACTACAGATCAATACAGAACGTGAAATAGGAAACATGGGCTATAAACTGGGACAGGTTTGTTCAGCTGTTTACTCTGAGAGAGAAAGTGTGTGTCTGTTTAGCAGTGCTTGTGAAACTGAGAGTGAAGAATACAGTCTTGGGATTTCAAATGTAAAGATTATTATTTAAGGGAAGCTAAATTATGTTTCAAGACAGGATGAGTGCGAAGCATTATATGGACATATGATCTCCTCAACTTAGATTAGATGGATGTGTCGCACAACCTAGCCTCATTATTCAAAGCTTCACACTTGTTTTTTGATCATCCAGTCTTCCTAAAGGATAGAGGGATTTATTAATTCTTTACAGTCCCCATTGCCAGAAAGAACATTGGTGCCTGAGAGAGGGACAAGAAATAAATCATGTGTGCTATTTCTACTAGATCGTTGTTCCTGCTAAATCACTGTGATGTTTCTGGAACACTTGTGCCTGATAAGACAATGGAAAACAATATGAGTTCCTGTAGGAGGGGAAACAGATTTTCCAGAAGTATGACCTAATACTGTCTTGTTACAGTGATACCTAGGAGCATCAAGATCAAATGGGATCAGAAATGAAAAGTATTCCTTTTTTTGGACTACATATAATCCCCAGAATATCTACTAGCCATATTTGTCTGTGTAAATATATAATAAATACTTGCAGGTCTTCTCTTCTTTGATGAGAAAGGGTTTCTCAAGATCTACTGCCAGACAATTGTCTACTGTAGTGAGATTTTCTGCTCCTACACGAAAACAACAAAACCAGGGTCTTTTTGGTAACCAGCACCATTTGCAGCAAACACAGAAACAAGCAAAGCAATATGTTCTTCTTCATGGCCTCCGTGAATCACACATATGGATGTTGTAGTGCACATGTGCAAGCACTCAGAACATTCTAGAGCTTAAAAGAAAGATTATTGATCACTTGGCACATAAATATTGGCACACAAATGCCCTGTCCCCATAGTTCCTTTTAGCCACCACTGTGGGAGCTTGGAACATTCTTTAGCTTACCACGAGTCACCGCTTTTTCTCCATCCTTTTCACGTTTCTTGCCCTGTTGAGAGAATGACTGTGTTATTGTGGTAGGATATCCTGGTTCTTGTTTTCTTTCCTTCCCCCCTCCCGTTTATGGCCCCAGGGGGCCATTTCAAGCAGTGCGCAACCTGTGGCTGTGAAGTCCCACTTTTGGATGGACAGTCCCAGTGCCTCAGTTGCCTGGGAGAGGTGCACAAGCCCAATTCCTGCCCTTACTGCTACAACTCCGGTCCTTTAGCCTTCAGCAACCAACGATTTAGGCTGAATACCCACCTTTGGGAAGATCTCTGCGCCCATCCTCTTCTAAGATAAATGAGCCTTCAACAGTCCCGGGACCCCAAGCCTGGAGATAAGACTGAAAGTTTTCCAAGTCAAGTGGTGGTTCTCACCTCCTTCCACCTTCTCCAGAGACTTCCCATGTGGACCTCATCTGCCTTGGAACTCTGCAGCCTGCTTCCCTAGCCTTTAGCCAATTGCTGGCTCCATACTGGACTCACTGGGTCATTTTTCCCACTTGCAATGTTATCAGTCCCATCCTTGGACTCGAGCCACTCCTCATCCCCTTCTCACCTTTTAGATTCTGGGCTTCCACAGAGGAACCATTTTCTGTCCCCTTGGCTCCATCATCTTTTATTCAGCCTGATGTCTTCCAGCATCCCTTGCCTCCAGCCTGAACTCCAGCTCCAATATTTTCGCTTGGCATTCTGCTTCAATCTACTATGGTTCCTCTATCTTAGCTTCAGGCCTAAATCCATCCATTTCACCTCTTGTACATCCTCCATCTACTGGTCTTGAGTTCCAGACCTCAATTCCATCAGCCTCAGCCTTGGCACACTCTTTGTTTACTGGACTCATTTCCGCTCTCCCCCGGGCTTTAGGGCAATTTTTTTCTCAACTAGCTCCTACTCTTTCTACCCAGTGCCTTATCCTCGGACATCTCATACGGAGTAGCCCAGGTTTTTTGCCCAACCCTTGTGGTTCTCTCCCATACCCTGTTTCAGATGCTTCTTAACGCTCCCCCTCCTATAATAATGTTTTATTACAGTCATTGACCAGCAAAAGTCAGCAACATTATTTAAATTAGGATACATAAAATTATTCTAAAAACACTCAGAACATCTATGTACATATATATAACTACATTCATACATCTTATTAGATATCTCCTGCCTCCCTATCATAGGCCTTGTCTATGGGCTATTGTAGCTTGCATAGAACAACAGAATGTTACTTAGAAGCTCATAGAGCCCATATGGTCATTAAGGCTTCTATGTGTGTACACCAATTTACAGATACTATAGCTATGCTTTGGGTGGAACCTTCATGGATTTTGATTGCAGCAGCATAGAATTGAGCTACTTTTGTCAACATATCTGAATTTTGGTTTAGCTGAGTATATCTGCCAGGGTATCACCCTGTCAGCAAGAGCAGTGTGTAATGTGCCTCTGATTGTCCAAGAAATGCTCTTATGTAAGGGTTAACAAGGACTTCTTGAATGCCAGAATAAAAAGCACAGTGAAATAACACATGGCAGCTAGTTTCAGTCTCACCAGTGTTACAGGGGCATATACGTTGCATGTAAGGGGTGTTGTTATACGTCCCTCCCTGGACTGCTGACAGAAGTGCATTGAAGCAGGCTAGAGTAAGAGCTTTGCATTGTTTAGATGTTAAGGGTAAGTAGAGATATTTAGCTGGTTTGGGTGGAAGCAGTGCATTGTCAAGTACAGTATAAGCCTATTTATGACAGTACCAAAGTCCTGCTGTCTTTCTGTCTCAATAAGATTACTCTTGGCTTTAATGTATCCCATTTGTTGGATACATTCTACTGAATAGCCATATCTGTTGATTTTATTGTATATTGCTCTCTTCCATTATCCTGTAATACCAGCGAAGTCAGTCCAGTTGGTTTAAAAGTTTAGTTTTAGCCGAAAGTTAAAAATAGCCACCCAAGCTCTGGCTTCAACCTTCAGGTAGCCCACTTCAAGCCTAAGGGCTGCATTTGATACCCCTAGTGGAGCTTGTAAGATAGCTGTCATGAATTTAGATTGAATTACTTCTACCTGGATAAATGAAGAATAGGGGCCCAGTTGTGCCCCATACAAAAACTGACTAAAGGATTTGACGTGAAACAGTTTTAGTGCAACTGGAATGTACTGACCTCCCATTGTGTAGAAGAATTTTAATATAGCAAGGCTAGATTTTTGTGCTGCTTGTACCACATTGTTAAGATGAATCTTGTGGTTTCATTTATATTGAAAGATGAAATCCAAATATTTTTAAGCCTTAATATCTCATGCTCATCAATTAACCACTGTGACATTTGCCCCTCGTGGCCCCAGAGCACATGAAGGCAAACCAAACACCTTTTCACACGCTGCCACCAGTTGATCACTAAATCAACGTACTTAAGAAAGATGAAGGTCCATTCAGTTTTTACTTTTTCTTAAAACGGGTTTATTAATTACAGATGTTTCTTTAATAATTCATAAGTACAGTATTTACTTCAGGTTCATCAAGCATCAATCTTCTATTTAAATCTCACAGGTTGCTATTCATTCAGACTGATCACACCTCAGATCTCCCAACTATCTCTCTCTCCCTCTAACTCTGACTGAACTCTACACTCCCCTCCTCTCAGGCTCCGCATTTTTAACCTCTCTGGTAGCCCCACCTCTCAACCACATCAGCACAGAACATGAATAAAGCATGATTTACTTTGCATAATGGGCTGAATGCTACATACCTCCCCCCTTAAACATGTTTGTTTGGGAGGGGAAACATGTTTTCAATCCCAAACAAACATGCATCATTGCATGAAACTTTACTTACCCTCTGGCATCATTTTGCAAGCAATAACAATATTATAACAATCACAATCTCTTTTAGTCTAAACATCCCAATACAATTCAATAATATACTTTATCCCTTATCATTTACACTTGCTACATTTCACATTTTCAACCTTATAAAAATATATCACAATCAGGAAACTTTTACATAGATAATTAACCAGTAAATCAATAGTCCGATCCAATTTATTTTAAAAGTCCTTGAATCATTCTCCACATTTCATTTCATCAATATTCAGTTTTTCCACACTATACACAAACAGAACATTTCTTATACCATTATCAGCTTGGTTTATTCCCCCCCCCCATTAGTCATTTGGCTTTCGAGGCACGGTCTGAGTCTCTTTTACTCCATGGTTTGCAAAGTCCAAGTCTTTCACCTTTCCTGTTGTAGTAAGGTGTGTCATGGACTGGTCCGGTTGTTACTGCCTCCTTCAGCTGGACACACGACTGCTGGCACTCAGGAGTCCCTCCAATGATCACTGACTACTGCTTCCGTGTTCTCTTCTGTCGACTGGAGGTCATCGGGCCCTCTGATGTCCACTGGGCATCCTCTGCCAGCTGTTTTTTAGTGAAGCCTGCTTTCTTTCTGGTTCGGGGCTTCACCTTCTCAGCTTGGGGAAGGGTAGGCGGTTCCCTCTCCTCCTCCCGAACATCTCTGGATGTGTCCCTCTTCAAGACGTCAGGGCTTACGCCTTCCTCCTCATTCAAACATTCACTCACAGGTGTAATGATATGTGTTTTTGAAGTTATTTTGTGTGTTTGTTAGAATGGTTTATGTAGTCATAGGATTGTCTTAATAGCATCCATTTTGAATTAATGTCTGTGTCTGTGACAGGAATCTCACAGGCTGTTTTCCAAACTGCCTAGCTCTTAGCCTTATCTGGTTGCTAGGATGGCTGGAGAGCTGGACTGCTCGTAGTCATAATAAATCTGCCACAAACATCATAACACCTAAAAGTTCTCATGAGAACTTGAGGCGGGGCAAGACGTTCCCAAAATGGATTCTAATTCCTGAAATGGAGCTTTTTCCTAACATTGACCTGATGGACTACAATTGGACTTTGCAGTTCCTGATGGACTATGGATTTCTTGGATACATAAGAATGTAGTTTTCTTTAAGAAAAGGATGGCTAGGCCAATCCTTTACAATAGATTAGAATGCATTTCTTGTTTTATTTTTCGTAGCTGGAGTTTGTGAAGTAATCTAATGTCTTGGTTGGAAATGTTACTAAATGCCTTACTTTGCAATAAACTGAATGCTGAGTAGAACTATATTTCTTAATAAAAACAGTAATGTTTAAGATCTTATGTTTGGTCTCTTGAACAGAATAGCCTGATTAATTGGCCAAGTATTTTGCTACCACCGAGCCCATATTTCATCTGAGTACTAACTCATGGTTTGGTTGTGTTTCTGTCTTTTCTTAAGAAAGGGGATGGACTTGAGGAAAGAGGTTTAGTGCAGTGGCCTGGCTGAGTTTTAGGGCTCATCTTAGCCACATAGGGACTGACTAAACTCTGGAATCTCTCTATTCCCGGCTCATCTGATCTCCCTGGAGACGGGTGTAGCTTACAACAGGTATTTTCATTGAAACATTTTCCTCATGTGGGGGACCACGATCATGGGTCACCTTAATATTCTCATACAAGTTTCTCTTAAGTGCAATCAACAATTGGCTTGTTTTAGATGCACTGAGTATGTTCGCTGATTCTGTTTCTTTTTTCAGTTATATGCTAGATAGGGGGTTGCCTTGCAAGGATTTAAGGACTACTTGTTCTGCCCCTGCCAAAAGCAATTTTCTCCCCTCTATAGTTATCAGTTCTACTACTTGGTCCTCAGGACAGAATACACTTTCCTCAGCCTCATACAAGCCTTTCCCTTTTTCAGGAGTACTTTCCAAGCTTGGCTCTGCCACTTCTAAGGATTTTTTTTTCTATATGAAAACTCCTTATCCAGGCAAGACCTTTCAGGGCATTCAGGAGATAATAAAGTGGGTGTATTGGTGGCTGGTTCAAAGCAGCCTACCAAACTAATTTCCTCCTGAGCCAAACTAGTTTTATTTGGGGTTTTCAAAAGCATGAGATCAGTTTCTAAGAGACTTTCTCCCTCCAGGCTTCCCTCTGCTACTGTATCCATTTCTAGCAGTGGGTGATTCCTGGCCCCCTTGTGAGCGTGCAAGTATAAAAGCACTCTTAACATGCTCTATCAGATGTAAACCCTCTCTGGGTGTTCAGGGGTCAGTGGAATGGGATAATCTCTAACCTTTGTAGCAAAATCATTCAAAGTACTATCTTCCATCTGTTCCTCAATACAGGAAAGATCATTAGGGATTTTCAAAATAACCTCATCATTCATTTTGGTTACCTCATGGTTCTTTTCTAACTTTGGATATCCCTGGATAGATTCAGAGGTTTGGGATTCCATTTTTCCCTCAGGGATTGTTAACTGCTGTCTCAGGGAACCTGTTACTTCACAAGCACTCTGCACATACTTAGTGAGATCTAGCCCAGTTAAACAAGGTGCAGGAATTTGATCAGAAATTGCCACGTCCCAATTTCCAATCCAATCTCTATAGTTTATTTTCACTTTAGCCGTGGGTAGAATCACTGGAGTAGAACTTATTCTCTTTATGGTAACAGTCTGGTTTGGGAGAATTTGTTCTTTAGGAATTACCTCATGTTGACCCAGGGTTATGTTAGAACAAGTATCAACCACCCCTACATAAGACTTTCAATTAATAAGAATCCTCTCACCAGGGTTATAAACTAAAATATCTTCTGCCTTTACTAGAAAACAATGAACAACCTGGGCTAGTGACAGACCAGAATTCTTCTTCGTGGCCTCTGTGAATGCACACAAATGGGTTATGTCTGCACCTGCGCTGATGTTCTCGGAATATTCTAGAGCTAAAAGTAACAATTTTGTGGCATGATCCCCCATGAGGTATATGCTCCTCCCACCCAGCACTCTCTTAGTTCCTTTTTCCCGCCATGCTGAAAGGTTCCTCGGAAAGATAGAGCGATTCATTGACTATTTTCTCAGCCTTTATTGCCTACTAACTTTTTCAATTACGCCTGATTTATTTTTTCCGTTTGTAATTTGCAATCCCCCGTGAGTTATTTCATTTTATTTCTTCTCCGTGTTTGGATTTCCCCCCTCCCCTTCCCCGGGACTCTTCAACTGTTTTCCCTCCTTTCCCACCATTTATGGCCTCTTCAGCTCTTTTTAAGAGGTGTGTGAGCTGTAACGGCAAGGTTCCATCATCTGACGGCCTCTTTTGTCTGGGCGAACAACACCAGGCGCAGAACTGTGCAGCCTGTAAAAGCTTTACTAAACCCGCACTGAAACACAGGCTCCAGAGACTGCGCTCGGACCTCTGGGAGGTGGCTATGCACCCAGTAGCTTCTGCACCAATGCCGACTCAGTTGCGCGAAGGATCGGTCAAGTCTCAGCCCCCTGCAACGGCTGCTCCCGGTCAGTTGACCCCTTCCCCTCATTCCAAGGAGGGGTCTTTGTTGTTGTTTGGTCGTTTAGTCATGTCCGACTCTTTGTGACCCCATGGACCAGAGCACGCCAGGCCCTCCTGTCTTCCACTGCCGCCCGGAGTTGGGTTAAATTCATGTTGGTTGCTTCGATGACACTGTCCAACCATCTCATCCTCTGTTGTCCCCTTCTCCTCCTGCCTTCACACTTTCCCAACATCAGCGTCTTTTCCAGGGAGTCTTCTCTTCTCATGAGATGGCCAAAGTACTGGAGCCTCAGCTTCAGGATCTGTCCTTCCAGTGAGCACTCAGGGTTGATTTCCTTTCGAATTGATCGCTTTGTTCTCCTTGCAGTCCAGGGGACTCTCAAGAGTCTCCTCCCGCACCACAATTCAAAAGCATCAATTCTTCGGCGGTCAGCCTTCTTTATGGTCCAGCTCTCACTTCCATACATCACTACAGAGAAAACGATAGCTTTGACTATGCAAACTTTTGTTGGCAAAGTGATGTCTGCTTTTTAAGATGCTATTGAGGTTTGTCATCACTTTCCTCCCAAGAAGCAGGTGTCTTTTAATTTTGTGGCTGCTCTCACCTTCTGTACTGATCATGGAGCCCAGGAAAGTAAAATCTGTCAGTACCTCCATACTCACTGTGAGATGTTCATTTTATGTAGCAGAAGGAGGATATTCTCCCACTCACTTGAGTTGCTATGACCAGGTCCTCGGAGAGGCTTCGACCATATCTGTTTTTTTCTGAACTATATTGTTTATATTATTCCCTGTTTTTGGTGGCTGGAGATGAAATCTGATCTTAAGGGAGTCCTACTGCAGCCTGATTGGCTGATCAGTTCTGCCTGTGGAAGCAAGTAGGAGGAACAACCCATCTCTTGAGGATGTCCTCCTTCTGCTATATAAAATGAACATATCACAGTGAGCACCAGTGTTCCTTTCTAATTGTTACTTATTTTAATCACAGTTAAAGTAGTCCTATTTAAAGTAATGCACATTACATGGAAGTTGACTCACTAAATCTCTGTTGGTTTAATGGACGTATGGGGGCTAGTGTGATTTAGTACACTAAGCAACAGCTTTGTGGCCACTGTTGAAATATATAGGCATTTAAGAAATAAATTGTTGATTACTTTTAAATTTTCCACCCTTTTTTAATGTTTAAGGTTTCCATCCACTCTGTATGGCTAGGAAATAGCATTACTCCATTGCGTGAAGAAGAATGGGATGAAGATGAAGATGATGAGAGTGATATGCCTGCCCCTTCCTCACCACCATCCTCTCCCATCAATTCCAGGTTTTGTGAACATTTTTGGCTACCTGAATAATGAAAATCCACTTAAATTGCCTTTAATTAAATTGTAATGTGGTGAGGAAAAACTGACAGAGTAATTTCCCGCCCCAAGATCTACTCTGTCTCTCTGCAGTCTCTAGTTATTTGATGTTATTTTTTTAATGTGTTTATAGGAAACACCGTGCTGGTGTGGATATACATTCATGTTCTCAGTTCCTACTAGAGTTATACAGTCAGTGGATTTTACCAGCAAACCCAAGCAAGAAGACGCCAGTTATTCTGATCAGTGAAGTTGTCCGATCTGTAAGTGTCTATATTTTCAGTTTCAGGAAGTAATAAACAGTTTTTTTCTAATGTTTGGAATAATGGAAACAGCTAAAATTTAGAAGCATATCATGCTTTTATCAGAAACTTATTTTTTCACACTAGTGGATGATAAAATGGAAAATAAATTTTATGAAAACTGTTGGCCTGACTCCTGTTGGCTTATGCCAGTACATGCACCATGGTGTAAACTGCAGCAGTGAATTGCTAGTACAGTAGTTGACAAGTTACTGCTTGTACCACTTCTCACTGTCAGATCCTGATTTGGATTACTGACAACCCCCCCAAGAGTCCCACAAAGATTAATAGGCCTCCTGGGCAAAGAGAGCAGATTCTGTGATTTATCATAGCTCACATTATCCTAGTAAAGAGTTAATACCAGAATGAAACCAAGTAATCAGTGACAATAAGCATCTCCAAACTCATCTGGGTATCTCGTCTGTACTCTTTACTCTTTCAAGAGTAAAAAATGAACAATCAGGACTTATAGCCTAATAAGGCAAAGTCAAGTAGGAGGAACAATTTCATTTAAAAGTATTTTTCGCTCCATAAGACGCACCTTTCCATAAGACGCACCAATTTTTTAGGAGAAGAAAACAGGAAAATATAATCTGTTTTCTTCGCTCCATAAGACGCACAGACTTTCCACCCCCGTTTTGTGGGGGGAAAGTGCGTCTTATGGGGCGAAAAATACGGTAGCTTCAAAAGCTGTCTTAAAAATACATTAAAGAAAATCAGAATTTTATAATGAAAAAATACAAAGTGAAAAGCATTCTTCAGCATGACCTCTGTGAATGGACACATATGGGTTAAATCAGCGCCTGCGCTGGAACTTCGGAATCTTCTAGAGCTTATCTGAAAAGATACAAAGTTTAGATTGCCCCTTGCACACATGCTCCATTCCCCCCTCAGCCTCCAGTTCTATTTTTTCCGCCTTAGTGGTAGGAACGTTTCGGGTAGAGCTCTTGATATCTAGCCTCTTTATTAGATTTATTACTCCCTTATACACTATTATTACACCTTGCTTATCGTAGTCATAAGAACAGAACTCAGTCATTAAGTGAGGAGTGCCTGTATGCAGAACTAACTGAAGAAAGAGAGGTTTTCTGTCTGTGTAGGCTTTCCACATGAGTCAGAGCCTCAGTTTGTTTTGCATACACATACGAAACAAGTAGATATGGCTTTTCATAATGACCGAACAGGGGTTTCATCACTTTTTAACCATGCCAGGCAATGCAAATGCTTGAACTTTGTTTTCCCATGATCTGTGAATGCAGACTTAAGTGTTCCACGGAGGAAGAAGACCCATGACTCCCATTGTATTCTACAGGCATGGCTAAACAAGCAGACTTCTTGTTTCTTCTGTTGCGGGAGATAACTGCCCAGTTCTCAACCTGCCTTAGAGTTGGGAACATTATTTTTCAAAAGAAAATTGGTGTGCTACTTCTCATTTGGAGTCAGTGAGGCAATCACTAAAATAACTTCTCAAAAGCAGATTGCTGCACTGTTAACACATTACATTGTTTTGACCAGCCCACTAGAAAAGTACCCTGATTCTCTCCAGATGCCAATTCTGATACTGCATCTTCAGAAGAGAAGGTGCCAATTTCTTTCCATATAGCTTGGACTCCTGTTGCTGGCAAAGAATTGTATTTGTAATTCGGCACATGCAGAAATTGCAAGGTTAATTGGAATCCTGGAAAGGGACATTTATTAGAAATATTCATTTGGTTAAACACAATATAATGCTTGCCTGTACAGGCCAGGAGTCCATGCACACAGTTAAAACTGTTCTGCCAGATGCACTCATTCCTTGAGAGGCCTGACTCAGCAAGTGACACAAGCCCTGGTTCTCTCTCATTTGGATTACTGCAAGGCACTCTGTGTGGGTCTGCCTCTGAAGACAGTTTGGAAGCTTTAGTTGGGGCTTGATAGTATGCAGCCATTATGACTAGTAGCCATTGATAACTTTATTCTCATGAATTTTCATTCATTCATTCCTTATTGTGCAGTCACAGACCTGAGTTCATAAATTTTCTGTAGTACTCTTGTAAAGCCTTTGAAGTTGGTGTCCATCACTACATCCTGTGGAAGCAAACTCCATAGTTATACTATATAAGGAAATGCTTCCTTTTGCCTATATTACAAATGTGGTCACACCATTGATCTGTACAAAGGCAGTTTATTTGTATAGAGATAGGAATATTAGCTCTGAAACTGACCAGACGAATAGAGTGCTACATCTCTTCATCCAGAAATTAAGAAACCTCCACCAGCAATTCCAGACCCAGTTTTTAATGGAGTAGAAGCAACCCCTTCAATACCAATACAGACGCCATGACTGTTATTCCTGTCTCAGTTAAGCATTCATGATTTAAATTATCAACCATGTCTCTAACTTCCCTTAAGATAGGAAGTGTGTACACAGTTCAGGCAGAAAATGCATGTTTTTGTTTGGCCATTTGACACTTATTATTGTGGAGCAAACTCAGATGGAAGGGAAGAGAAAGTTTCATTCCATGCATGTGAACAAAAAAGATAGAAAACTGGTTTATGTTTAGTTTATGTTGTTCATGCTTTCATTTTATTGTAAGCTGCCCAGAGTAGTGGCCTGGCCACTAGATGGATGGGGTAAAATTAAATTCGAATAAATGAATCTGAACCTAATAAGCCAAAATTATTAATCTTCTACTGCTTTGGATATCGATAATAGTCACCAAGCTGCCCTGACTGCTTAACAACAATTTCTCTGGAAGAAATGGAAATCTCTAATAGCTTTTCCCAAAGACCATAAAGTTATTACCCTCTTGTTCATGAGGCATATATCCTAGTAGCACAGCAAGTCAATTCAGCCCAGCATGTGACCATTTGCTTATTGAAGGACATGCCCGCCTTGCAGTGCCACATATAGCTGAGATCAGCAAGGGTGACCAGTGACACCAAACCCAAAATGAGTACCTACCTGTTGATGATTAGGGCTTTTTCTATGAGAAGATTGACTTGAACAGATATGAAGCTTACTGCTTTTGCAAAGTAGATTTCTCATATCAATAGATAACATAATACATACAATACATAAAGAGCTCTGTGGCAGAGTGGTTAAACTGAAGTACTGCAGGCAAGCCTCTGTTCATAACCTAATTTCAGTCCCCACAAATTCAGGTAGCCCTCTCAAAATAGACTCAGCTTTCCATCCTTCTGAATCTGGTAAAATGAGTACCCAGCTCACTGGGGATGGGGGCAAAACATTGTTTACATAATAACGTTGTACACTGCCCAGGGTATGCTTCAGTACTATGGGGCAGTATGTAAGTCGAAAAAACAATAGTAACAACAGGGCTTTATAGATCTTTTCACCGCATTTCTCAACATTTACCACCATTGACTCATGGGTATTAATCATCAAGGCCCATGGCTACGTCATGGAATTTGCTTCTCCTTACCAGAGGGTAAAATAGCTTTTTCATCTGTGCCATTGAATATTCTGCCAGAATGTTCTACCAGTTGCATATTTTTGAAGAAGTGCCAATATTTTCTATTGCCAAAAAAAGAAGTCTTTACCTGATCTTAGACTACAGAAGTGTCAACAAGTAAATCAAAATAAGGATGTTTCGGACTGTCGCATTGGCTACAATTCTTCTTTTATAAAAGAGAGAATATTAGTTTGTAGTCATGAGGAATGGTGCAAATTACAACTCTCATTTATGGGAAGAATATCAACAATAAAAATGATGATCTTACCCAAACTTTTATTTCTATTTCAAAATCTTCCAATACTGTTGAAGTATTTTAAGGACTTGGACAGCTTAACATAAAATTTTCTCTAGAAGCCTAAGAAGCCAAGAATAAAACTTAAATTGCTACAAGATCTGAAAGAAAGGGGGGGAGCAGGTCTACCAAATTGGTTACTATATTACAAGGCCTGCGCTATGAACTGGATTAAATGGATAACTTTGGAAAATCAAAGACTTATGAAACTGGAAGGACATGATCTAAAAATGGGATGGCATGCATATGTATGGTATGGGAGACATAAGGAAAACTCATATTTTGGAGAACATATCCTCAGGAAGGTCCTAGGGATAGTATGGCAAAAAATTTAAGCACAAAACTATAAGAAAATCCCATTGTGGGTGGCGCCTATAGAAGCATTCACATTAAAAGTGCTGAACCAGAAAGGAGTACTAACCACATATCAGAATCTGTTAACTAAAGAAGAGAAGATGAAGGACAAACAAGAGTTAGAAAAATTGGGTGTAGCTGCTGATTGGTGGTCAATGGTGAAACTAGAATCAAGATACAAAAAAGATAGGACTGTGGGTTTCTCCGAGGGCAAAGTACAGGTGGATAGACTGTGGATATATACTGATGAAAAAATAATTTTAAAAATGTATACATACTTATTAGAATATGATTTAGAGGATGAGAGAGCGAAAGAGAAGATGGTAAAATGGGCAAAAAAATTTGGATACAACATAGGTCTTGATGATTGGGCTAAGATGTGGAAAGAAAGTTATAAGATGATCAAACCAGCAAATATTAGAGAAAATATCCTCAAAATATTTTATAGATGGCACTATACACCTGTAAGACTAGCAAAAATGTCAGAGGGTA